TTCCTCACCAAATATATATATATTGATTTTGCAATAGAGGAAGACGAACAAAAAATTGCTGGAGAACAAAATACCAAATGTGCCCCGAGATTCAGATTAAACGCATCGGTGGTATAAAGTGTTAGCGGCGCGACAGTTAGTCATCGTCATCAGCCATGATGTAGCCACTGCTGGATGAAGGCCTCCCCACAAGCCGCCAACATCTCTCGCGATTCCATTGCTCCATCTCCACAGGGAACACGCTTTGGAGGCATTCCATTGCTCGGCAGCCACGCCATCGTGATTTTAACTTGGGTGGCCAAATGAAAAAAAATTGGTGAAAAAAAATTGTGCCCTGCAATTTTTCATCTAGGGCCCAAAAATCCAAATTCGGAATTTTCAAACGTCTCCAGTTATAATCGTGGACCAAACTATATTCGTGCTAAACATAACATTTATACCCCTTATTCTTAGCTCTTTCGGTAAAGTCACGTTGAAGGGAAACAATAAAATAATAAAAAATATCTAAAACAATTAAAAAATTATCACGGCGTTTCGACCATAACAGAAACGGTCATCATCAGGTGTGAAAAACCAACGGCAAGAAACATTTGAAAGAAGCGTCGGTTTCGCATTTATTTATTTTAAAACGGTGCATTTATTTATTTATAAAAAAAACGTTAGCGCCACGCGCAGCGATTTGGCAGTTTATTTAGAAGGACGAGTCCATCTATGTTCTGAAAAGAGGAGGGGGGAGACGAAAAATTAATGTATGCTGTCTGAAAGCCACCGTAAGCGTGAACAATCAATTAAGACCTGAAATGGTTTATCCCTTATAGAATACATATATCAGTCACTCGTTCACTCACTCAGAACCGTCTATTTAAGATGCTACGCCCATCACGCTTCAAATGAAGCCGAACAATGTAACCTTTTTTTAAAGCAATCAGCTCTGCAAATGTTTTATCCATCCTTCACACGGCATGCACCCATTTAATTAACACCCCCATAATGAGCAACACAAAAACACACCCATAATCGCAGCCACCGCAGTCAAATGTGAAATTTTAAACGCAGCGCAACGTTTGTCGCTACCAAGCGTTTTTTTTATCAACATCATCAACCATGTTCAATCCACTGCTGGTTGAAGCCCTCCCCAAGTTGACAGTATGTCTCATGATACTGCGATGTAATAATCTGCCTAGCACCTGCGCACATACTTATTTTTTGTTTTAATACAAACTTACATCGCCTCATCTCATTAGTGGATGTCCTCTCGGACGTGTTCCATCCCTTGGCTGCCACTCCGTTATTATTCTCGACCACCGCCCATCATCCCTTCCAAGCGCGCTGACTTTGCTTAGTAATTTGAATGGGATCACTGGCCCACGTGCATTTTCTAATCGATGCGTTCCTTCATCTCTCTCAATGCGATTCCAAGCGGGCAGCTCTTCACACTGCTTTGCGCAACTGTTCAGCTTTTGTTCCGTGGTTACTTTCGGTGTAACGCGTCTCTCCCCTCGAGCTGCCCTCATCCTTGCCTTGTGTCGTGACGTGTTTTGTTGTTGCTTCTTCTTCCATGTCTTCTGGCCGTGGTAGACCAGCAGGTTTGCTTATTTGATGGGGCCTGTCATCTGTCAGCGAGCGGAAGCTACGAGGGCGACCGCAATTCGCCGTCATTACCGCTCGCGTGCCACCAAAACCCAGGGGAAGTGAGTCCTGATCAGCCCCAGACAGCCGCTTACTTCGCATACGAAAACGGGGAGGTGATTGAATTCATGTGGCACTCAGTGGGACACTCTACACTGCGCCCACTCCCGACCCTGATGCCTGTTGCATACTTGGAGTTTGCGCGTCTCGCTCTCCCCGTGGTCGCGTGGATTTTTCTCCGGGTCCTCCGGTTTTCTCCCTCCACATTTAGAATCAACATCACGCGCGTTCAGAGTATTTGTCCGCTCTAAATTTCCACACGACGATAATCCACTTCGTTGAACTATCATTTGTGATAGCCAGGTTGCTTCTGAAAACGAGCTATATAATAATTTCATTTTATAGCAGCATCATTCATGCAATTGTATCTCACAACACTGAATCAATTACCTACTACTTGGCAAATACAACAAATGAATACCTAAATAAAAGGAAAAAAAAATACGCAGTTTTTTTTTCATTATATAGCTCAGCGGGCCTTATCTGGTAAAAAAAAATGTTTTTTAAATAGTTTATAGCTGTAACCTGCGTGCCGATCAACACACGGCACGGCCCGAAACCACATCGTGTGGCTGCTACACCGCACAACCGCGAACACCTACGCAGTTGTTTGCAATGCATTACTCGCGATGCTCCACTATACGGTGATGGTGGGTGAGTATTTAAACATTAACTCAAAGATTGCCCAGTAAGTTCACTGCACAGCAGGCGTAGCTTCCTAAAACCACCCCTACAAAGCTTGCTTCCACGAACACAATCATCATCCACCCTCTTTTGTCCTTCCCTCTAGTTTTTGGCCCCATGAGAAATCAAGCGCTCCTCCGGCTCGAAATTACCGAGGCACGGCCAGGCCCTGTGAGCTTGTTCTCTCCAAAACTCTAAGACTAAGTGGCGGTTGCCATTACAGATCATAGGGCTCATTAGTTTGTACGAGGGGCTTCCAGGGTCATTAGGACGCCCACAAATCCTAGACCTCCAAAAGACCTCCAAGCTTTCGTTCTCCGTCCGTATCAATCGCTCACGTGTCTGCCATAACTAAATGCCATGAATAAAATATCGCCGACTTCGTCTGCATGCTGATGGCCCAGGTCACAAAGACACGTGTAACGGAATTTAATAAACGCCGGCGATGCTTGGCTTCGCATCATTGTCCGTATCGCACTGCCTGCCGCCAGGATTGAGAAACTGGTGACTCCCATGCCGAACGTTTGAAGGGGTGAGTTAACACGTAGTAGTAGTAGGGCTTTCGCGACCAATATCATCCATAACAGATTTTTTTAGGGTTAGATCGCGTAAATATCAATGTGTCGTTAAACCCGCCGCCACCCGACACAGCCAATTAGTGAGGTTTGTCACGTAAACAGAACGTGGCAATTCGTTACTAATTCAGCACGCCGGTGTGTTGGGAGAGTGAACCAACAACATTTACAACGAGAGTACTACGTGTCGCCATTCATTGCAACCAGCCTCATCAGGCGACAGCCAGAGTTGTGGAGAAATCCTCCTGTTTCGGTCTCAAATGGAGGGGATAAGTGTGATGGCGTCACTCGTGAGCCAATCGGGTGCGAAGACCGGGAGGGTGGCGGTATAAATTACAATGGGTATCCATCACCGGTTTGGTTGCCGGTGACACGCGGCCGCGGCTGAAACCACGGCTCGACCGGCATCACCCAAAGGTCTGACTTGGGGGGGAGGTCGAATGTCAGGATAAGCAAACATTCTACTGCAGCCCTCACTAAGTGGGAGACTGCACTGTGATCATCATCATCATCATCCACAATCAATCCACTGCTGGATGAAGGCCTCTCCAAACCGTCGTCATCTCTTGGCAGTTCTGGATCTCATCGCTCCATCTCCGAGGTGGAGGGCCTCTCTGCCACTCTGTCAACATTCTTGACCTCTGACCATCATCCCTTACAGCTACGTCCTGCTCATCGCCACTGACTTTGCTGAACGATCACTTAACAGTTGCATGTCTTTAGCCTGCGTGTTTTCCGATCTGCATGTCATTCTTTTTTTTTTGGGTTCACAGTGTCATTTCAAGTATGCATCTGTCCATATGCTTCTTTTGCTTCACTTTTCATATTTTTGTCAAAAAATTGTTTCGTGTCTAAGACCGTGCTTTTGAAAAATATATCACTGCAGGCAGTATGCAAGGATTGAAAACTGTCCTCTGAAGGAGGCCGCCCCTCAGGTTAAATCTCGTGATCAAAACAGCCCAGCAATTGCCATCTATTCACCGAGCATCGCTGCACCATCGCCACGCAAGGAGCGGTGACGCATCCCACGCAGTGATGCAATACATTTTTTCAGATTCGGGGTTCAAAATTCTATGAAAGAAAAACCATCGCGAGGATTTTGTGTTCATTCGTACTATTCTGTTCGTAGTTTTTCATTGTTTTCCGTCTCGTTTGTAAAGATTCCTTCTCTGCGTGACTCAAAATGTAAGCATCAGCAAGCAAGTTGCTAACAATTTGTACGAAAAGAACAGTTCTTGATTCTCAACGCACACAATGTATCTTTCGTACTTGATTTGAAGCTTCCGTGACTGCGGGAATCCATACTCTTTGGTTCTTTCGGTAAAGTCACGTAGGTAGGAAAATAAAACAAAATAAAAATAATATATCACGACGTTTCGATCGCAACACAAGCGGTCGTCCTCGGGCGGAAAAAATAATCCAGCAGTGGAAAATAATCCAGCAGTTCTACTGCTGGAAATAATCATCCAGCAATAGAACTGCAGCAGTAGAACTGCTGGATGATTTTTTTTTTCCGCCCGAGGACGACCGCTTGTGTTGCGATCGAAACGTCGTGAGAAATTATTTTTTATTTTGTTTTATCTTTATACCTACGTGACTTTACTGAAAGAACTAAAATAATACCTTTCGTACGTATAACAATATATATCAACCGACGACACAAACCTCGTACCACGTTCCCAGCCACAGCATTCTCAGCGAACGTGTACAGCACAGTTAATCTGCAACTCATTCTGTTTACAGGTTCTCAGATTCCATTTATCTGTGCCTACACAGACTGCAGACCTTGCCTGTGCTCTTGCAATCCCCTTCGCAAGAGAAGTCTAAAGTTTTGTACCCATTCCGTTAGTTGGATTCACGCCAAATATTGCTTTCTGGCACTACTATGGTATTGTACAGAACATACCGTATACATATACGTGACAGAATAAACTGTGAACCAAATATATTTACTCATGCTATCGAAACTCGACTGGCTGTGCTCCCTCCCGCACGCCACTGAGTATAGCGTGCACACACACACAATGTACCCTCTTCACGTGAGCTACTTACGTAGTCAGCCGAGTCATCCATTTCCAGCTGCACACAAGCAACGAGAGATAAAATGCCACGGTTAATAAAGGAACAGATGCATGCGTGTATATGCATACATAAACATACGCGAAAAGGTGCAGCGCTGAAATTACCCGCTTACACAACTGCCGAAGGAAGAGCATCCACTCGGGGTGATGGCACCCACACATTAGCCCGCGACACACAACCTGCCAAGCGACTCACTGCAGTGTACCCATTTACACTGCCGGGTGAACAGAGGTCGAGGGTGATACAAGGAACTCAACCCATTGCATCTACTGCTGTGCGGGGAGATCGAATCGAACTGGCGACCTCTGGATTGTAAGCCCACCGTGCTACCCACTGCGGCAGCATCCCACGGTGGCAGAGGGCGCCGTGGTGGCAAGCTGTTAACTACCTCGCCTGGTATACATAGAGGAGGTCGTGGGTTTGATCCCGACCCCAATGCCTGCTGTATATTTGGAGTTTGCGTGTCTCTCTCCCAGAGGTCGTGTGGATTTTATTCTCCGGGCCCTCCGGGTTTTTCCCTCCACATTTAGAATCAACGTCACGCGTTTAGAGTGTTTGGCTGCCGTGACACATTTCCACGTGATAAGCTACTTTGTTGAGCTATAATTTGCGATAGCCAGGTCGCTTCTGAAAAGGAGCTATATAGCTCAGTGGGCTTTACCTGGTAAAATAAAACATATCTACGTTTTCCATCTCATACTGATTTACATGAGATTTATTCATAACCATGTTAGAACACACTGACAAAATGGATATCTCTGAAGCACCTCCATGCCTCTCCCCTTCACTGACCTGCACTAACCAGGGTGGTTCTGTACAATCAAACCAAACCCCTTTTAAGGGAGGGGGCGCGGAGGAGGCCATGACCCTGTAAATCCGCTTCTGTTATTCTCGATCAAAATACACCAGGATGAAATCACCTCACGTGCTGGTGCAAAATGGACCACGGCATTCATGAGGCGGTGAGAGATGGCGGTGACTTGGTGAGGCCTTCATCCAGCTGTCAACAGATCATGGCTGATACTGACGACGTTGCTGTTGACGCTGCTGTAGATGATCATAATGCTGATGCTCCTACTGTTGTTATTACTGCCAACGACGCTGCTGCCGTTATCGAACTCCCTTCCTTTACGATGTTAGGACACCACTGGAGCCACGCACTTTTAAATCATCTCGATTGAACACTCCTTCCCCCGCTCCTCCGATTAGCGCGGTTGGCTATGCACGGTTGCGAAGGAAGTCCAAACGCAACACGTCGCAACCGCTGACGAGGATGACGACGACGAACACCGACGACGACGCAGCAAAGCCCCCTGGCCCTGCCGGGAGCCGCCCTCACCTGCTTGTCGGAGAGCATGAGGTCGCGCACGGCGGGCGCCCCCTGCGGCTGCCCGGCCTCCACGCGGGAGTAGTGCACCTGGTAGCCGCGCACCTGCCCGTGTTGGCGGCCCGCCGTGGGCGTTCGCCACGTGACGCGCACCGTCGTCGAGTTCACCGTCTCCAGCTCCACGCGCCGGGGCGGTCCGCTCGGCACTGGGGACGGACGGGCGGGCGGGTAGGCTCGGTTACAGAGTTGGAGGTGGCGGTGTTGCCCAATTTGACCACTTTTGTTGTCGCGAGATCTTCGTGACTTGTCGGTTCTTTTTTTTTTCCTCGTGAGTAAATTTGGTTGAAGCGACCGCGCGGCAAATCTCGCGACTCTCGCGCCGACCTCCGAACTCTCTACCTGAACGCTGTTGCAGAATCCGTTGGAACCGCGGCTGCGGCCGCAGCATGCACCAACTTCTAGCGGAACAAACCCATGTGACGGTGGACCAACAGCCTCATGCGAGTACATCCAGAGTAGGAAACTGGGACAAGGATTGTGAATTATATTGGTCGCGAAAGCTTACGTGTCAAACTGGGAAAAGGAAGTTGCACAGTTTTAGGAGCATTTCCCGGTAATTATTAAGGATCTATTAACAGTTCAATTGGAACTGCTTTTTGTGTTCAGTTTGTTGTCCTTCCCACGTGCCTCTGATTAGCACGGCTGGCTATGTACGATGCGAAAAAAGTTCAACGTACACACGTACAATACTTGGTAAACGTTGCAGTTAAACACGTTCTCAGCGGTGTTTGAAACGTATAGTTTTCCAGCCAGGACTTTTATTCTGCTACGGCAGGTTTTTTTTTTCTTCTTCATCTTCTCATCGTTTGAGAACTGTCTCGCGACCTTACAGCGACTTTCAAAGGGTCCATCTATCGAGAGCTGTCGACGTTCTGCGGTTCACTGGGTGACTTTATAATTTAACGAGCTGCCCCCTCCCCCCCCATCAGGAAACGGGTTGTGTACGGGCCAAACGGCCAGGTCATTTATACTTGACGGGGAAATGTAATTTGGAAGAAAATTCCAAACGTATGCCCTTCCCCCCCACCACCCATACGAAGAAAGGAAAAGTACGGTTCCCCACAAAGCTCGTGGTGGTTTTATCTGCCGGCTAATGAAACGCATGCACTGTTTGACGTCTCTTTAATGGCCTCTACTTTGAGCTTCCAAGGCCCGAGGTTCTCTTGCTGAATCGGAATAATCTTATTTGTTGGCCGAAATAAGCTCGGCACAATGTCAGTGGCCAGTGGACAAACCATGCGAGCCATGTTTAAATTGGGCCAATCAGAGGAAATGTGAGGTTTTCTGACAGCAAGTGTTACACTTAATCATACACATATTCCGTTTTATGATAATAATTATACATTTGATGCCATGTTCTTTGGTACAAATAAAACTATATGTGCACCGCTGGGTCTCATTGCTTCTTTCAGTCTTCCCCTCCTCCGTACAATGACCCAGAACTTTGGCGATAGCGTCCAGGGTGAGAGCGAAGCCATGGCAGAGGATAAAGTTTCTCACAGTGAACCGGAGCAGTTTTACAGTCGGCCAAATTGGCCAGCAAGAGCCGTTAAATAAACACAGAGAGACACACATGCATGCATGCATGAGGAGGAGATGTGCCAGCCCAGGGCACGACTACAACCACACGGATGCGCGCATCGATCAACCACCGACCCCCCCCCCCCCTTCATCCCCCCGCCCGATGCGGGCGGCCAGCGAGGGCACGCTGCCTCGCAACGGCGCTGAAAGGTAAAAAGTGTGAAAGGCCACGTGTGGGAGTTTGAAAAAGTGCAAATGGGTCGAAAGCCCGGTCATTGGGAAGGCCGCGGCGAGGTACGAGTGAGCTCAGTAAAAGGCTGTCTCCATCCAACGCCACACCTCCCACCTCCTCCCTCCGCGTCGCCTCCAAATTGACGTTTATTTTTTATCACGGTTCCTGAGCAGAGGCCTCAAAAGAATCAACACGCGAAGCGGCCGGCATCAAACGGCGTCATTAGAATTGGCGAACGAGTGGCGGGGGAGGCGAGGTTTCTCGCGCGGAGGATTTCATCTTCGAGGCCCGCGCCGCCCAGACGCGTGGGCGCAGTGCCCCACGTGCCGACTGGACTCCAGCGGCCGTCTCGGTGGGCATCTGTGCCCGTGATTCCGCCGGGCGGGCACATGTTTCGCGCGGGTTCTGCGCATCTCTGGGACGGACACTAAAATGGTCGATGCGCGTGCGGCCCATGACCCCTTGCGGAGCTCCGTGGTGGTAACTCGGGCAGCACACGGGGGGGGGGGGGGGCACTCAAGCACAGGGCGACCATGAAAAATGCAGACGAGGAAAATTAACTTGATGAGGACGAAAATTATTTCACAGCTAAAGTCAGCGTTGGCGGTTATCCCAGAGCCACGTCAATTATCATTTGGCATAAGAGTGTCCTTTTTTAAATATATACAGGCTATTCATACGGCATTGGTAACTAACATAAAATTAACCCTGCTGATATACGGAAGAGGATAAAAAAGAAAAACATTGAATGTTGAAAACCTGAGCAAAAAAAATCGGTTAGTTCAACAAAGTGGTTTAGTTTCCAATTTGTTTTTTTCGTCGTCATTGCAAAAAATACTTACAGATGAAACGCCGATTAGTTTCGATGGTGTTGTTGATGGCCGGCAAAAGGCAGGTTTTGCTTTAATGTGGCAAAGCACCCCCAAGAAAGGCCGGTGGGGTGGGGGCTTCAGTTCTGATGGTGATCGAATTGCCAGAGATTGCCCAGCGCAAAGGCTTGCAATCGCCGATTGTTAAGCTGCAAAAGTACGTGTTCATATGAAATGTGAATGAAATAGGTCTTGCATCTGCAATGAAAATTCTTGTTTCTGGACAGGACGCACAGTGCAGCAGCGGCAACCACAAGTGATAATGGACGGTGCTCCGACCGGCCGAGAATTTCAGAGCGAAGAGGAGAGAGAAGAGAGAAGGTAGAACAAAGAAAGGAGACACGAGTGAGTCGTGGAAAGTGCTGTGCCGAGTGCCTGCTGCATCACGGGCAAAGCAAACAAATCAATATTCTGTTTTGAGGTATCACTGTCATCGCCAGAAAAATTTCAGATTCTCGACGGCCTTGTCCGTAAGTCGTCCACTGGCTCACTCACCGCCCTCGACGTCAACGCGTAAACATTGACAATCAACTCGCCACCGCGCGAAAGAGTGTCTAAGGCTAGGCAAGTCTACGAGGCTGCGTGCGAGGCTAGACATCTACCTGTAAGTCTGTGCCACTCTGTATGAGTCTACATCTCAAACCATTGACGCCACGGTAGCGAGATGTTAACTACCTCGCCTGGTATACAGGAGGTCGTGGGTTTAATGCCGACCCCAATGCCTGCTGCTGTATATTTGGAGTTTGCATGTTTTCTCTCCCTGTAGTCACCTGGATTTTTCTCCAGTTCCTCCGGTTTTCCCCTCTACATTGTAAAATATGCATTTAGAGTATTTGGCTGCTATAAGTTTCGACATGATGAGCCACTTCGTTTGAGCTATCATTTGTGACCACGTCGTTTCTGAACAAGAGCTATATTAGCTCAGTGGGGCTTACCCGGTAAAAAAATATAAATAGTTTAGTAAACTGACCGCATAGTATCGGCACTGGCCGCTTCAGGGAGTGATCATGCGGCCTTGCGGTAGGGTGTTTCCCACCGCCCAGGTTATTATTACGGGGGTGCATTCACCCGAATATATGGGGCGCCTGCTTCACAGGGGACGTTAGAGATCCCCTGGCATCATTCACACAAGAGGAAGAGGCCGTTGCGTGCCGGCGTCGTCGTCGTCGTCGTCGTCGTCGTCCAAATTTTCCAAATGTTAAATATTACCCGCACATTACTTCAGTTGGAATGTACACAAAAGTCATTGCCCCCGTCCCACCCCCACTTGGCGGTGGGGGTGCCCCTCCTGAAAGGAAAGTCGCGAGACTCGGCGAGAGTCTTCCCTGCGTCATAAATAAAACACACGTGCTAACTTTACTGGCAGCAACTCTTTTCGATGTTCATCACCTCCGATCCGGAAGCCGTCCGCACAACTGGCTCGCTCGCTCAACCTTCGACACCGACGTATAAACGCCAGCGATCAACTCCCCCTCGACGTCTGAAAGAAGAAGAAGAAGTCTGCTATTGTGGAGGAGAGTGAGAGGGAGGAAATGGGACGGATCAGATACGAGCGGGGAGAGAGCGCTGTGCCGTCTGAGATGACAGCAGTGGGGGGGTGGTGGGCGTTTGGCTGAAGATGGGTGAGGAAATCCCATCACTCGGAAGGCGAATCAATAACGGAACGGCCCAACGCTAGGGCTGCGGTGCGATAACGGCACGCGGACTTCCATCCTGCTCAAATGTCCACTTTGGAGCACGAGTGCTCGGAGAGGGAGGAGCTATCGAATAAAACACATCTTCCCCTCGGAGCCGCCACCGCCACCATCATCACCACCAACCCACCACCAACCCACCACCACCACCACCAAACCCCACCACCGCCGAGGGAAGCAAAAAATAGAAAGTGCCGGCGCAGCGGAAAAATAGGCGGAGGACGACAACTCCCCGGTGAATAGGGGCCGGGTGAGAATGGGAGCGCACGAGTCCATTACACCCGCACACACAACGACGAGCTCACACCCGCAGCTGCCGCAAACACCGCCATTCACAAAGTTGTTGTCAAGAGCACCGCACAACACGCACACGGAGAGACGCACAAAGGGCAAAGATCCCCCGTGTAGCCTTTAACAGACCGTTGGGGCAGGTGTGTGTTAGCGAGCACCTATGAAGGCCGGCATGGCACACGAGGGGGTGCGTGACCAGCGCCACGCCCGGCCACCTTTGTCTCCCTGGTGGCAACGTTTACACATTGCGCCAGGTACTCATTTGAAGCTGATTAAACCTAGGGAAGGCCCCAGGAGTGGTTCAGATAATCGTCAGCGGTATTGGTCGTGAGCGGGAATCAAACTCGGGTCACCAGATTCACAGCGCAGCGTGCTAACCGCTACACCACCGCTCCCCGCTACACACACGCGCACACCGGCAAAGAGACTCATACACACACAGACACACACATGCACAAATACAGCAGCAGCAGCAGAACGTACACTTGAGATTCAACAGGGAATCGATCAGAGAAGGTGAGCAGGAAGCCTGTGGAGTGAGGCCACAGGGCACGCAGCGTCAGTGACCACCGCTGCTGGGAGCTGTCAAGGGTTCACTCTGGCTCAGCGGATGCTCTTTTTGAGCGGTCGAGGTCAGAAAACGGAACGGGAATCGGAAAACCGCTCAACGCAGCGGCGTGGAGCACCGAAGAGAACACGAGAGAGCAGTGCAGAAAGCCGACAGAGAAGGACTCTGGCCAGACACAACCGTTAGCTGCAAAGGCACCAAGATTAGGAGGGAAAACACTGAAGAGCCACGTGAGAGTGTCGGCCCGGCCAGCACGGCTGCGGTGTGGGCGGAGTGGCTGCCACCTTGACGTACCATCCTCGAGTGTGCGTGCCTGGATGGGCAGTGACGGGGGCCCCGGGCCAACCACTGTGTGGGCCCGCACCGTCACCTCGTACGGGGCCCACTTGGTCAGCCCGTGCAGCTTCACGCTCCTCCGGTCCTCGGGCTGCCGCGGCGTCTGGCGCCAGCCGCCCCCCCCGCTCGGGCGCCCTCCCGTGCCGTGCGCTTCGTCCCCGTCGTCCCCTTCATCGTCGTCCCTCCTCCCCGACTCATCGGCGTCCGCGTCTGCGTCTGTGTGCGGTGCGTCTCTGTCGGGTGCGTGCGCCGCGCCTTGGCTGGGCAGCGCCCTGTACGCGACCGTGTACCCCGTGATGCTACCGTGCTGGCTGTGTGCGGGTGGCGGCTCCCAGCTGACCAGCAGGCTGCTGGAGCTCAGGGCCACGCACGCTATGTTTTGTGGGGGTGCGGAGGGGGCTGTGGGTCGGGTTGGGATTGTGGTGGAGGTGACGGGGGGGGGGGGTGGTGGGGGTGGGTCGGGGGGGGGGGTTTAGGGAGAGGGAGGGGTCACCGTGAGTCATGGTAATGGGATGAAACATCTGAAACCACTGCAAACAAACGCGAGCAGCTTTCTTTGGTTAGTAAAATATGAAAACGATGTTAATGACCTTGGGGGTGAAAAGTACAAGTTAGTCAATGTTTGTATGACTCATGTTGCAGGTCTGGGGGGGGGGGGGGGCTCAACTTTTTTTGTTAAGGCTGACCCTCTCGTACACCCACACCTGTAATTCAAACGCGGAAATTCAGCACAAAGGGCATTGCGGTGGGGGGGGGGGGCACGGAGCACACACAACGCAGCAGCTCGGGAAAGCGTTTCACTCTCACAGGTACATCAGAGACGCCTTCAATTAGTGACTGCGAACATTCATTTAGCATTGAGATTTGACTCTCACGACCGCGCTGTGTCCTAAATAAAAGCAAAAGCGGGAGCCTTACAATTCCAAAGACGTGAATACAAAAAACATTAAAACCACCGCAGGCCTGGTAAAAAATAAAAAAAAACCTCCGGTTAAGGACGTAAATAAATCAGCGGTGAAAAAACTTTCTTGAAAGATAAACGAAATTCCAAGCCAAATGCCATCATCATTAAAACCTTCCAGTTAGCTGTGAAATAATTATACGAATAACAATAATAAATTCGGCGGCAGGGTGGCAGAGTGCACCATTCGCAACAATAAACGCCCAAACGTATCTCAGTGGAGTCATCCAAAAAGTCTACCGCCGTAACATCCATATCCCTTTAACAGTTAAATAAAACGACAACTTAACTAACGATAAAAGTAAAGCTCTCCATCCCGCGGGCACGCGCATGCATGCTCACCATGCCTTTTCTACCCAAATAAACAAACGATGACAGTCTGCAATACCGCCCCCTGGGCCAATTAAAACGCCCGGTGACGTTGCGTACGATTAAACGCACGGCGTTGCGTACGATTCGCCCGTCCTCGTGTCTCCGCCGCGGGTGGCATTTTCGGGAAACGCTCGCGGGGGCAGGGTTGCCGCGGGGGCCGCGTGGAGGTCCCGGGGAACTTTGAGCGCGTCCCCGACCCCTGGCGCTCTTCACACCTCTCCCCTCCCAGCGAGCCCCCCCCCCCGTCACGCATCACCGCCGACCTTTGGCAACCCCCCTCCGCTTGCACGGCATTTAGGAAACAATCGAAACCTGTCCTACTCTCCCAAGTCGCGCCGCACGGGATTGGGGGAGGTGCGGGGGGGGGGGGCAGCACGTGATCCAAACCCGCGGGGGTTGGGGGGGGGGGCGGTGAAATCGGAGGCACGGCGACATCCCCGGTCGCGGCCGAGACGACCGAATCCGCCCGGAGGGACGGGGTGCGCGTTTGGACCAGGGGAGTGGGGCTTACAAAAAAAGGCTGCACCGAAAATCACCGGCAGACGCACGTTGTGCATGGACACATGATGAACGGGTTTGGTGATATGGGGGGCGTGGGAACTGTTCCGCGTGCTGCAATCGTTTTTCGATATATATATACGGGGAGCAGCGGCACGGCAGTTGCGCCTGCAAAGAGGTGCAATCTTGTTTTCGAAAACAATTGCTCAAATTTGCAACACTGCCACGTTGCGGTCTACGACTGAGGATGAAAATTATTTAAAGTCGCAGGGTAGCTCTGTGCGCACTCTGAGAAATCCGTGTGCCTGTGCAACCTTTGACTTTGGCACCGTGAGCACGTGGTGGTGGTGGTGGTGGTGGTGGGGGCTATAACGGCACACAGTGAGCCGCGCTCCGCTGTGTAAGCGCACGCCGCGACCGGCACGCCGCTGGGCCGCTCGCGATCCGTGCTCTCGGCCCACGTCCCCGGGGGGGCCGGGCGAGAGAGGGGGGGTGGGGGGTAGGGCACGCGGCACGTACTTGACTGCATGGTGCGCTCCGTGACGGTGAAGGTGGCGGGCCCCAGCCCGGTCTGGGAGCGCGCCGCCAGCTGGAAGTGGTAGATGGTGTCAGGCTGCAGGCCCTCGCGCAGGAACGTCATGGTGGGCTCCAGCGTCACCACCTCCTAGCCAGCGTGCAATTAACGCGACGGTTACTGTCATCAATCGTCAGCAGGATCGTAGTCGTTGGCATCATTGTCACCATCATGATCGGTTGTCCGATTAGCACGGTTGGTCCATGTACATGCATCCTTTTATCATCACCACTGTCATTATCATAATCGTCGTCGTCATCATCATCATCGTCATTGGCGTCATCATCATTGTCATTGGGGTCATCGTCACCATCATTATTGTCATCATCATCATCACCACTGTCTTCACTTTATTGCACTTCGGTTTTGAATATGTGGTCTCCCGTGTAAAATTAATTCATAATCGAGCCCTTGTTTTTCCCATCAGAGTTTCACCGAATCGCAAGACTCGTTTACAAGACGGCGGGCGGAGGGGGGGTGTTGGGATAATTGTGCACACCCCGAGGGCACACTTGTCAACTGCTTTTAGGTGGGCGTGGCGAATTTTATATTGCAGCTCACGGTCGCCGTTCGCCGTCCACCTGGATGACACGAAGATGTTGGTTCGACAGAAGGGATTTTTGACGTAAACTTTTGCGATCAAACATTTTAAACACGTTTTTTTTTAAGATCGTCGTCAACACCATCGTCACCCCCCCCGCCCCCAACGTCCTCTTGTCGAGGCTGTCTATGAACTCCTTAGGGGGCTTCATTCATCAATGAAACCCAAACTTGATTTTACTCTCAGACGAGTAACGATTGGTGATAAATTACTTTCTATAGCGCGAGTCATTCGTTTAATTTAAATTCCACATTCCTGTGGATGGGGATGGGTCCACCCAAAGGACTAACACTGGAGGCTTTTCACAAAGTGGCGTTCATTTGATCAATCCTCAAGGGTCGAACGGGGCGAGTTGAAATCGTAACTATTTGTTAAACACTCAGAAAAAAAATCTCAATTCATTTTCATGCATATTACTACATTTCCCATGAATTATACACAAACATATGCACTGACTGATCCACTATCCTAATTCCGGTGGGAATTATAGAGAATAGCGTGATTGATCAATGTATTATTTAACCAGATGCTTACTATTGCACGGGAGAGCCTGGGGAACAAAAACATTGTTATGAAATGTGACAATGTCATTTAATTTATACGTACTTTTCAAATTTGTCATTTGAGCTTTCACCAGGAATACAGTAAGTTTGGCAAATGACAGTTCAATAATTTGAACATGAACTTTTATTAAATCAGTACACTTTGATAATTCCCCACACGCTTTGATGAAATATTAGGTTCGGGATCGTGATTTAGTTTAAGAATCAATTCCTTGTTTTGAAGATCGTGGTGAGCGTAGTGCCTGTCTCAGAGTGAGGGCGAGTTTACCCCGATAAGCACAGCATATAGGTGCTATTGTGGCGAGATGTTAACTACCTCGCCTGCTATACAGGAGGTCGTGGGTTCGACCCCAACCCTGACGCCTGCTGTATATTTGGAGTTTGCATGTTCTCCCCGTGGCCGCATTCATTTTTCTCCGCGTCCTCCGGTTTTTCCCTACACATTTAGAATCAACATCACGCGTTTAGAGTATTTGGCTGCTGTAAATTTCCACGCGATGATAAGCCACTTCGTCGAGCTGTCATTTATGGCTAGGTAGCTTCTGAAAAACAGCTACGTCGCTCATTGAGCCTTACCTGGTAAAATAGACACATTGTTTTCGTTTTTAGTTTTATATGAGTGTAACCCACAATGATAATTGATTGCGTCTCATGGAATGCTCCACAAATCTCTATGATGACAGGAGCCCTTGTAAGTGTGACTCATGGAACAGTCCATGTACAGTATCTCTATGATGATAGGACCCCCCCTGAGAGTGATGGTGATGGAACAGTCCACAACGTGTATGGTGGAATGGTCCATGCATCTCTATAACGACGGCACCCCGAAGGGTGTACCTGATAAAAGGGTCTGCGTCTCGATGATTGGACCCCTGTAAGTGTGGCTGATGGAACGACCCACACACCTCCTTGTTGTCTCCGTGGCGGATGCTCAGCTCGTAGCTGGCGATGTCGCCGTAATGCGGGGGAGTCCAGCACAACAGAATACTCGAGTCGGACTCTGCTTCTGCCTTCAGGTTAACCGGCTGGCCAGGAACTGTGAAAAAAAAAAACACGTAAAAATGTATTTTAAATAACAACGTATATAACGTACATATAAGGGATTCTGCTGTGGCAAGATGTTAAGTATCATCATCAGCAGCACGATCCATGTAGGTGTCCACTGCACGTTTCGTCATCTGTTTCCACTTTCCTCTGTCGATGACTACATTTTCATGTATATGCATACTCGACTTGAAACCCAGAGGTCGCCGGTTCGATGTCTAGGGGTCGGCAGCTGAAGCGATGGGCAAGTTTATTAAATCTCCCCACCGCAGTCCACCCAGCCATATAATTCGTCGATGGCTATGTTGTGTGCGGTGGGACAAAGTGTGGGTAACTCCAATCCCTTCGAAGACATCGGGGTCAATGGAGGCCTCTCCATCAGCGGGGGAGACAGGCGACTGCAGGGCCGTGCTCCGATCTGTTTATTTATTTATTACAACAACAACAAAAAGTAAACGCTTGCTTTGGCAGTGGTGCACAGGCATAAACATGAAAACACAAAGAACTCACGACACCCATCGCTCGCACTGCCTGAGCAATCGCAGCTGTTTGCAGCACTCTTGTCAATCCACAACCGGATGAAGGGTCTCCTCCCCCATGCTACGCAAGCTATGGGGGGTAGTTTGAGCATACTTCACCGTGATGTTCATTCCAGGTTGATTTTACTGGTTTCGCACTACCTAATAAATAAAAAATGTTGATGTGTTGGTCCAATAGTCCCTCGATTTTGGAGAAGGGAACGATGTGGGCCAAGACAACAGGTCAAAAACAAACAAATAATTGTGATGGTTTCAAAGTTCTTCTGCACATGCACTTGTGCAGAGAAGGGCGATTTTCTGAAACCTCAGCCTTTTTTTTGTGGGAGCACAGTCATTGCCAGAGAAGTCTGGGCCCCATTACACGTGTCTGCATACAATGCAGCGTTAACGGTGAGCATGATATGTATGCTATACATATCGGTTCAGGACTGTGAAACACACAGAAGACACGAACGCCATAAAACCCATACGGAATAAAATATCAGAGACACCCCGTAGTTCATTTGAAGCCACAGGGTCAGGCGATGCGGGTTTGTATCCACATTTGGGCCACCCCACGCCGGGATTTGCGTTCCCAGTGCTTATCTGGGCTCTCTTTGTACCCTTGTGAACAAAACCACAGCGATGGTTACTCGTATTTGAAGATGTAGTGACCTACTTGTGTTAAGACCCTTCTGCAAACAGTGGCCAGAATACATATCCTTTAAAATAGAAGAGAACAAAACTAGAATCACCACCACCACCACCACCACCCAGCAAATAAAGACAAAGATCCCCATATAGCTGTATAGGATGTTAGGGCAAGTGCCGTTAGCGAAAACACTTGTTAAGGCCGGCACAGCGCACGAGTGCGAGAGTATAGCCTGCAGCGATGTTCGGCTGTCTTTGTCTCCCACAGTGCCGATGTTTGCACACCACACCGGATACTAATTTATGGCCGAGCTGACCTAGGGGAAGCCCGGGGCGGCTTCAGATATTCGCCGCTGATGTTAGCCGTGAGCAGGAACCACACTCAGGTCACCAGGTCGAGCAGCGCAGTGCCGGTGACCGCTGGCGACAACGACTCCAGCAAGCACACAAATACAGAGACCCCCGCCCCACCCCATCCCCCGGTATAGCCTTCACAGGTTTTTTGGGGCAAGTGCGGTTAACGATCACCAAGTGCACACGTGCGTGCACGCACACACACACACACGTAGCGGCACAACAACAAAAAACACCACACACGAAGCCGCATCAGAGACGTGACACATTTTACAAAGTCAATACACAATGACATGGCCCACATGACAAATGATGCATGTCACGCTCTCATACGCCCTTAAATCGTGTCACAACAAAGACCTCTCCCCCCCCCCCTCCCCCCCACTGCATAGCCTTATTAGACTGTTGGGGCTAGTGCGAGCACATATGAAGGCCGGCACGGCACACGAGGGGATGGGTAGCCAGCACCACACGCCCGGCAGCCTTCGTCTCCCGAGTGGCGATGTTTACACATCTCACCGCGTACTCATTTGAGGCCTAGCAAACCAAGGGGAGGCCCAGGAGAGGTTCAGATAATTGGTCACGGTGTTGGCCGTGAGCAGGAATCGAACACGTGCCGCCGGGCTCCTAGCGCAGCGCCACAATCACTCCGCGACCGTGCCCCACCGAGGATAACAAAGACCCCGACCCCCACACCCCCGCTCACCCCCCCCCCCCCCGTTTAGCCCTACACACCACGCACTTACGCGCACACGTATCAAACGAAACAAATAACAAAAACCCCCACGCCTTCGTGTGGAACGCGCGGACCCGAAAGCGCACGCCAAGGGAGCAATTTGCGCGCGCGCTTGTCACAGCGGCGACGTGGACGAGGGGGAAGTGGTCGGCGCTCGCGCTGCGGCGTCGTGGCGCCGCGATGGGAGCGGGGTGGCTGACATTTGCAAAGGTTAACACCGAGCAGGAGCGCGGCACTTTTGTCCGACCGTTTGGACGCGGCATCGGTCGCGCGCCAACCGCGCGTCGCGCTTTTCGCTCGCACCTCCCGACGACGACGGGGAGCGAGGCGCTCTCCCCCTCCGGCTCGAGACGTTAATCCGATGACTTTTGAGATACCAAAAAAAAACATGACCCTTCGCGCCGCAAATGGACGCCAAGCGGTGGCCTGCGTGCGTCCTCCTCTCTGCTCCGTGCGCATCCTTGCCCGAGCCTGCGTGTTGGTGTGTGCATGTTGGTGCGTGTGTTGGTGCGTGCATGTTGCTGCATACGCGCGTTGGTGCGTGCATCTCCCGCTGGAGGCAACGGTGGTGCAGTGGTTAGCGCGCTGGGCCATGAACCCGGCAATCCGGGGTTGATTCCCGCTCCGCGGCCAACATCGGTTGGCCGTGAGCACCTCCAATTCGCGCGGATGGCCACGTACGGTGCGAATATTTCAACCTGTTCTGGGCCTCATATCGCAATACGATGATATTTTGCAAAATGGATGATTTCATTATCGTGGATCTCCTGATATCACAAGATATATTTTTGTTAACATATACGCAGCAGCATTGAGGTGTACACCACAGATAGTCAATCACCAGATCGTGTGTGCGGTGGGGTAAAGTGCAAGTTCCCCTACCTCTTCTAAGATGTCTGGCCAGCATAACAAACAACTAGGCCACCATTTCTCTTCTACAGGGCATCTCCTCCTTTAAGCGGAGGCCCTTCGACCAGAACGGGAAATTGCTAGTGCTGCACCTTTGCCCTTAAACGCTTTCCTGCCGTAGTATCGCCACGCTGTGGCAACCCTGGTGCGCGCGTGCGTGGGCACGTGCGTGGGCACGTGCGTGGGCACGTGCGTGGGCACGTGCGTGGGCACGTGCATGGGCACGTGCGTGCGCGGGTGCTCCTCCTTGCCTCCCATGGTGGTCTTGATGTAGATCTCGCCGGAGAAGGGCCCGTCGCCGACGGACGTGAACGCGAGCACGCGCAGGGCGTAGAGCGAGTCCGGCAGCAGGCCGCCGATGGTGGCGAGGAGGTTGTCGTCGACGTTGTGCTTCAGCCAGGTGCTCGCCGGCTGCACGGCGTCGGCGGTGTAGTAAACGCGGTAGCCGCAGATCACCCCGTTGGGCTCCTCGGGCTCCTCCCACGTCACCACCAGGACGGTGGGGGCGCCCAGCATGCGAGCGCGCACGTTGCGCGGGGGGCTCGACGGCGCCTGCTCGCCCGTGCGCGCGAACGCCGGCGGGCTGGGCGGCCCGCGCCCAATGTTGTTCACCGCCAGCACCTGGAGCTCGTACTTGGAGTTGGGGTTGAGGCCCCCGACCGTGTAGCGCGTGGTGGGCACGGCGTCCGTCTCCTGGAAGGGGCCCTCCGACGACTGCAGCTTGTACTGCGGTGACGGCGCAGCCGGTGGGAGTTGGTGGGGGGGGGGGGGGGGGGTCAGGCGGGCAGTGGTGGAGATCGCTCGTTCGACGCACGCATTTATATACACATAAGATGTGAGGGCGCCCACGCTGGGGTCGATTTTCACGGCACGATAACCACTACACTACCGCTTCCCACAACCGCATATCTAACGCACATGCACGCACGCACTGCCTTTGCAACTCAAGCAGCCGAGAATATGAAGTGAGTAACTTTGTGGCTGGGTAATATCGGAATCATCATTGAGAAAGCATGTTATCACCTGTGGATGTTAACTACCTCGCCTGGTATGCAGGAGGTCGTGGGTTCGATCACGACCCTGACACCTGCTGCTGTATATTTTGAATTTGCATGTCTCTCTCCCCGTGGTTGCGTGGATTTTTCTCCGGGTCCTCCGGTTTTTCCCTCTACATTCAGAATCGACGTGCGTTTAAGAGTACTGCTATAAATTTCAACGTAAAAAGCCACTTCGCTGAACTATCATTTGTGGCCAGGTCGCTTCTGAAAAAGAGCTACATAGCTCAGTGGGCTAAACTCCAAACATCCATCCGACAGGGTCGGGATGGAAACCACGCTTCACCACCAGGGTGCCCAATGGTTCGGGGCATGCTCCATGCCTTCCTCACCTGGATGATGTAGAAGAGGACAGGGTCAGGACTGAGCGAGTCCCACGTCAGCGTCACGCTGGTCGCCGTCGTTTCCGTCATCGTCAACGTGCCCAGGGCCTTCGGCAGGGCTGGAGGAGGTGGGGGGGGTGGAGGGGGGAGGGGGGGGCAGTGCGGGGAATGATGGAGCGGTGGTGAATAGGATAAGGGGGAGGCAGTTGGGTAGAATTAGCCGGTTACGGTTGGGGCACGGATGAGGATGGAAGAGGTGGGATAAGTCGGAGAGGAAATGGGAGCAGCGGGGCCCGAGGAGGGCAGCCTGTAATTAATTTCCGTTGTGCGCATTTTTTTTGTTATCATTAATCATACAACCGGACAGATTAGTGATGGCAACGCGTCCCATGACGTACAATGAACCGAGTGTGCATGCTTAAACAGGGCCAGATCCATAATTGCGAGCGGAGCGCACCGAATCTGCTGAAGCCTAAAAACATTCTCCCCCATGTGACCCTCTCCCTGACCCCCTGCGTTGCCGTAAATTTTTATCAATCTGTCCACCGCTCGCTCCGCTCCACGCGCACAGTGCTCGTGATAAATCACGATCCCTTGGCCCCTGCATTCGCGCTCTGCTCAGGCTGCCGCACCTTGACACGCCTGTGCCGTGCTGCTCAAAAGGGTTGGCTTGTGTCATGCTTAAGGCCGTGGGCTCTCCTGGACTTCTGCGTGGCTCGCGTAACACACAGCAGTCGCCCTGCTGTCCGCCATGCGGAGCTAAGCAGCACCAGGCCACGTCGCATCCAGTCATGCTACAATACGCTCCATTGACTAGATCTTGGAGAGGAAAATAATAATTTAGAATTTCCTCCCCACTCCAACGCACGCTGACCCCGGTGCCTTGAGGGTGTGCGGTAAAACTACCACCTTGCACCTGCGTACGAGCCGGTATCATCGATCCACATCCTCTAGGCAGTTTTCTTTCGTTTGGCTGTCACTCCGTTGTTCATCTTGACCCACTGGCCTTCATTCTTTCTAGAAAAGAGGCTTTTCTTTTTGGGTTTGATCGCGTGCATATAAATGTGTCGTTAACCCTTCGCCACCCACCACGGCCAATGAGTAAGGTTTGTCACGTAAACAAAACGTGCCAATTTGTGACTACTTCAGCACACCTATGTGTTAGAGAGTAAACCCACAACATGAGTACGACGTTTCGCTGGTGATTACAACCGGCTTCATCAGGCCATAATAAACAAACCTTACCAATTGGCTGCGTTGGGTGGTGGTGGGTTAACGACACATCGATATTTACGCGATCTAAGTCTAAAACAACGTTTATCATGGATAATATTGGTCGCGAAAGCCTAGGTGTTAAAACGTAATTCTTTCGAGCAACATGTCCTGTCAAGCCCACTTTACCTTCTCTTTAACGGTCCCGATGGTGCTCCTGACTTGCGTTTTCCTCTCTCATCCGCATGTTCACCGAGACCGTTTCCGAGTGTAATTTCAAGCGTGTGCTCACAATCCATAATCTACCGACCCCCCAAACCAAATCCTTCCTTTCTCTCTGACTTTTCTGACTTTTTAACTCAGTTATCTGCCATCTCACCTTCTGTTCTGCTCCTGGGAGATTTCAACATCCACATTGACACTGACTGTAAATTTACTACTGAATTCCTGGAACTGCTACACTGCTTCAATTTCACCCAACATGTAAACTTTCCAACCCACAGCCGTGGTCACATTGTGGATCTGGTCAGCTCTACTGGTCTCACCGTACCGCTCCTCAAGCCCCACAACCTCAACATCTCGGACCACCTGGCAATCGCCATGAACATTGATCTCCCCATTTCTACAACCAAGGACAAAAGGACAATTTATTTCAGAAATCTTAAATCCATCTCTAGTCCTGCTCTTTCAGCCTCTCTTGCCAGCAAAATATCTTCCTCCCCCTCCCCCGTGACTGACAACCCTTCCGACCTCACCAACTACTACAATGAAACACTTTCCACCAGTCTCGATCATCTGGCTCCCATCAAAACTAAAACTATCTCATTCACTCACTCTGCTCCCTGGTACACTCCTATTCTGCACAAATGAAATCCCGTAAGCGTCAGCTTGAAAGGCTTCATAAGAAAACTGGTTTAACTGTTCATCTACAAGCTTACACAGATTACCTTCAGCAGTATATGGAAGCTCTTAACACTACCCGGTCCACCAACTACTCACACCTCATACATTCTGGTTCTACCAACCCGAAGGCTCTTTTCTACACAGTAAATAAACTTCTCAAACCCAGTGACAATATCGTCAACTCATTCAACAACTGATAAATGCAACACCTTTCTATCATTCTTTCAGACCAAAATTGACACCATTTACACCAACCTGTCCTCTTCTTCTGCCACCACTGTCTGCTCTAGCATTCCATCATTTGTTCCCCCCCCCCTACACCTCTCAGCCACTATCTCAGTTCTCCCCAGTGTCGCCGGGGGAGCTGTCTAAAATCGTGACAGGGATGAAAACATCAACATGTGTCCTGGACCCCATCCCATCCCACCTCATCAAAGACTGTTTACCAGCTATCTCCACACTCATCACAAAAATCATTAACTCCTCTCTCAGCTCTGGCTCAATCCCACGTTCACTCAAACTGGCTGCTGTCACCCCCATTCTCAAAAAACCTGGACTTGACCCCAACATTATGTCAAACTTTCGACTCATTTCCAATGTCCCCTTTCTGTCTAAGATACTGGAACGCACTATCGCCAAACAACTCAAAACCCACCTCTCCTCAAATGACCTGTTCGAACCATTTCAATCCGGCTTCCGTTCACAACACAGCACTGAAACAGCCCTCCTCAGAGTTACCAACGACATCCTCCTCTCCGCAGACTCTGGTCACCTCAGCATCCTCATCCTCCTGGACCTCACTTCAGCTTTTGACAACTATCAACCACACGGTTCATTCTCTCTCGCCTCAAATCTACCCTCAACATCACTGGCACCGCCCTCTCCTGGCTCCAATCTTATCTCACCGACAGACGACAGTTCATCCACATCAACAACTGCACCTCCTCCACCACTCCGTTGTCCCAAGGTGTCCGGCAGGGTTCGGTGCTTGGTCCTTTGCTCTTCATACTATACCTGCTTCCCCTTGGCAACGTCATTCGCCATCGTGGTCTTAACTTTCACTGCTATTCCGATGATGTCCAGCTCTACATCTCCACCAAATCCATCACCTCCGCCACCCACTCCACTCTCTCTAACTGCCTCGCTGACATTAAATCGTGGATGCACACCAATTTCCTTAAACTTAACTGCGACAAATCAGATATGATCATCATCGGTCCCAAATCTATCACTAAATCCATTTGCAGTTTCTCCGTCACTGTCGACACCTTCACCCTGTCTCCATCCCTTCAAAGTCGCAACCTTGGAGTAATTTTTGACAATAACCTCTCCTTTGAACACCACGTAAAACAAATCACCAGAATTGCCTTTTTTCACCTCAAAAACATCTCCAGACTTCGCCCATCACTCTCTTTCTCCGCTGCAGAAACCCTCATCCACGCCTTCATCACCTCCAGAATCGATTGCTGCAACAGCATCCTATACGGCACCTCAACCAAAACATTAAATAAACTCCAGTACATCCAGAACTCTGCTGCTCGTCTGCTCAATCACACTCGCACCGGTGACCACATTACCCCTGTCCTCCAAAACCTCCATTGGCTCCCGGTCCCACAACGAATTCAATTCAAAATCCTCCTCCTCACACATAAAGCCCTTCATAACCAGGCCCCTTCCTACCTCACTGACCTGCTCCACCGCCACAACCCATCCCGTAGCCTTCGCTCATCTGACGCCAACCTCCTGACTCCACCTCTCAGGACCAAGCATCGAACTTGGGGCGACAGAGCCTTCTCTATAGCTGCCCCCCCCTCACTTTGGAACTCTCTCCCAAAACAAATCCGTGACTGCACCGACCTTCCAGCGTTCAAATCATTGACTAAAACTCACCTTTTTAAAATTGCTTTTAATGTTTAGCTAAGTTTGATGTCTTTTTAGTGTTTTTACCATTTGATGTTGTTTTTGCTGCTTTTATGATTTTATGTAAAGTGTCTATGAGTATTCAGAAAAGCGCTCATGAATAAAATGTATTATTATCATTATTCATCTACCCGCCCTTGTTTGAGAGATGACAGGCCGAATTGATCCTCAGCCGGCAGTTGAACTTACATCCATCATGATCGGGAGATGAAAGTTTAAACCGCCAGAGGACACAGCCACGCATTGCGCGTCGGGGGTGTCTCCCAAGCGAATGGCTCCTGGTGATTATTGGTAACATTACAGACAGGATGAGCGAACTTCATCCACCCCTGCTTAATCCACTCGGCCGCCCTATAATCATAATTATATAAAAACCACGTGACCACTGCCTACTGACTCAGTGCTGAGTCTACTGTCTGTGCGCTACCGCCTATTTAAAAGTTCCGTCATCAGTCAGCACAATCGGCACTTGCGTCCACGAATGTTGTCCAAATTGTTGTGGGCTTCCTTTTTACGACGTCAACCCCAATTCTGCTTGGGGCACATTCACCGCCGGCTAACCCAACAGCTGGGCACCGCACATCGCGACACGACCTGGCGCTGCTCTCGAGCAATGGCACGTCGCCCCACGGTCACCGCATTGTGCGCTTTCGCATGCCCTTCTGCGGCCGTCTGGAACGCTCCTCCTTCCGACATTAGGAAGCTGCTGGAGCTATGGCGCTTTTAAATCGAGAGTGAAAACTCGAATTCTTTAGAACTGCTTCTTGTGTTTGCTTTGTTGTCCTTCCCCCGCACCTCCGATTAGCGCGGTTTGGCCGAAGAAGTTCAACCACACATGCGCGCCGCGGCACGTCGCGAACAGCGTACCCTTGACGGTGATCTGTGCCTCCACTTCGATGACGCCCAGGCTGGATATGGCCACGCAGGTGTAGTTGCCCGACTCCTGGATGCCAGTGAGCTCCAGGACGTTGCGCCCGATGGGCATATCAGCCTCTGGCGTCAGGTCCTTGTGGCCGAGCTTCCACTTGACGTACGGCATTGGCGAGCCGATGGCCACGCACGTCAGGTTCACGCTGCCTCCCGGCATGATCTCGTGGCTCGCGGGAAGGACGGAGAAGCGCGGCGGGATGGTGCGAACTGCAGGAAGCGAGAGAGAGAGACAGAGAGAGAGAGAGGAGCCACAGAGACGCGCGCATGCACAATGTTCATGCACACGTACAGCCTTTTGTCAGTCCATTATTGTGTCGATTGCCTCCCCCAATGCCGTGAGGCGTCGTGGGGATTGTTCGACCATACTTCGCCCACGTTGTCCAATGTGGGCGACTGAGGGAGGAGTGCCCAGAGGCCGCCGTTGTACGGAACAATACAATCTCGCTGCACGCCACTCAGCTGCCCACCACGTGACCCCGCAGCAGCCCAAAGCAACCTGCTGCGTGTATGGTGGCCAGCCAAGCAAGCGCTGTCCAGGCTCAAACTGCTTAGCTTCTGGAGATCTGCTTGGGTCGGGCGCGTTCCATGTGAAGCAGAGTAATGGGGAACGAGTGTGCCCTCGCGCGCACGACGGGCGAAGGTAGGACGGGTGAACGCACGGCGGGCGACACAACGGGGGAGAACGCGCGATGGGTGAATGAAACGACGGGCGTACGCGCGATGGCCTGGGCCTTGTGCGCAAGGGCGCAAGCGTTACGTCGGCACAGAGCTGGAATGAGCCGGTTCCATACACGTGCAGCCTCCTGGGATTCGCGGAACGAGGAGTAAGTCAATCGTGCGGCCTCCACGTTGGAGAGGTTAAAGAGTTGCCAGGACGCATCTCTCGTTCTCGCCGAGACTTGTTCCCATTTAGTGTTTGCAGGCACGCTCGGTACGATGCGGCGATCGTCAGATTGAAATCAATTCTTACACTCATGACACACGCGTGCGTTGAATCTTCGAGAAGCAGTGATTTACGAGTCGCGTTTGTTGTAAGTGGATTGTTAATGCTGCAGGTGGCATGTTGCATCAGAGGATCGTGAGAGATGGCGACGGCTTGAGGAGGCCTTCATCCAGCAGTGGATTGATCGTGGCTGATGATGATGAAGATCGTGATGATTTGTTGCAAGCAAACAGAGACCCTGGCAGCCGATAGAGATGTTACATTCACCGAAATGTGATTAAAACATTAAAAAATATATATTATCAAGTCATATCGTAACCTCGAATCATGACTTATATATCGTGACCCCGAATCCTGACCCCTGTATCGTGACCCCGAATCGTGACCCCGAATCGTGACCCCTGTATCATGACCCTGATCTCGTAATAATTCAGGAATCAACTCGAGGGGCAAATTGTTGCATTGCTCCGTGTCAACCGTACCACTGGCTCAAGACACACGCTGCCTGAGCTCTGTGTAGGGCTACAGAATGCACCGCACGTAAAAAAATAAAACACAATTATGAAGAAAAGGCAAGTTGACCGCTAACACGTGACATTTTCATACCTTTTTTCCCCCACCATATGTTTAACGAGGGGTGTATTGATGCATTGTATATGTTGATTAATATTGATTTTTTCAAGTACGATAATTCTATATGTCGTATGCAATGGGTCCTCTTAAAGCGATGCACCACTCCACTGATCCTGACGCACCACTCCACTGATCCTGACGCGCCACTCCACTGATCCTGACGCACCACTCCACTGATCCTGACGCACCACTCCACTGATCCTGACGCACCACTCCACTGATCCTGACGCACCACTCCACTGATCCTGACGCACCACTCCACTGATCCTGACGCACCACTCCACTGATCCTGACGCACCACTCCACTGATCCTGACGCACCACTCCACTGATCCTGACGCACCACTCCACTGATCCTGACGCGCCACTCCACTGATCCTGACGCGCCACTCCACTGATCCTGACGCGCCACTCCACTGATCCTGACGCGCCACTCCACTGATCCTGACGCGCCACTCCACTGATCCTGACGCACCACTCCACTGATCCAGACGCACCACTCCACTGATCCTCACGCACCACTCCATTCATCCTGACGCACCACTCCACTGATCCTGACGCACCACTCCACTGATCCTGAGGCGCCACTCCACTGATCCTGACGCGCCACTCCACTGATCCTGACGCACCACTCCACTGATCCTGACGCACCACTCCACTGATCCTGACGCACCACTCCACTGATCCTGACGCACCACTCCACTGATCCTGACGCGCCACTCCACTGATCCTGACGCGCCACTCCACTGATCCTGACGCGCCACTCCACTGATCCTGACGCGCCACTCCACTGATCCTGACGCGCCACTCCACTGATCCTGGCGCGCCACTCCACTGATCCTGACGCGCCACTCCACTGATCCTGACGCGCCACTCCACTGATCCTGACGCGCCACTCCACTGATCCTGACGCGCCACTCCACTGATCCTGACGCGCCACTTCACTGATCCTGACGCGCCACTCCACTGATCCTGACGCGCCACTCCACTGATCCTGACGCGCCACTCCACTGATCCTGACGCGCCACTCCACTGATCCTGACGCACCACTCCACTGATCCTGACGCACCACTCCACTGATCCTGACGCACCACTCCACTGATCCTGACGCGCCACTCCACTGATCCTGACGTGCCACTCCACTGATCCTGACGCGCCACTCCACTGATCCTGACGCGCCACTCCACTGATCCTGACGCACCACTCCACTGATCCTGACGCACCACTTCACTGATCCTGACGCACCACTCCACTGATCCTGACGCACCACTCCACTGATCCTGACGCACCACTCCACTGATCCTGACGCACCACTCCACTGATCCTGACGCACCACTCCAGTGATCCTGACGCACCACTCCACTGATCCTGACGCGCCACTCCACTGATCCTGACGCGCCACTCCACTGATCCTGACGCGCCACTCCACTGATCCTGACGCGCCACTCCACCACTGATCCTGACGCACCACTCCACTGATCCTGACGCACCACTCCACTGATCCTGACGCACCACTCCACTGATCCTGACGCACCACTCCACTGATCCTGACGCACCACTCCACTGATCCTGACGCACCACTCCACTGATCCTGACGCACCACTCCACTGATCCTGACGCACCACTCCACTGATCCTGACGCACCACTCCACTGAACCTGACGCACCACTCCACTGATCCTGACGCGCCACTCCACTGATCCTGACGCACCACTCCACTGATCCTGACGCACCACTCCACTGATCCTGAGGCGCCTCGTCTGGGCTTGACCTCCCGAATGTTTAAAATTCTGGCAGTTGCTCTGCATCTACATCAGCGGCCGTACGACAAGAAGGGGGGTCCCTTGAACACCTGCAGTCACTGGGTTCACAGCTTGCGTTTTGTAAAAGTAAACGTTCTTAGATCACATCACAAAACCTGAATTGTGAAAATGAATCTCTTCGGCAGGGGGGTGGTGGGGGAGTTTACGGAGGGTGGGGGCGCAGGGGGGGTCGTTATTGGGGGGTAAGAAGCACATTTTTTAACCCATAGATGTAAAATTTATTATTTACGACTAATAATCATAATGGCCATCATCAATGCTGTAGATTCAGGTGTCAACATGAATGCCTTAAAAATCTATACCTTCATGCTCCGATATTTCACCTGTGGAAAGAGCTGGGGGGAAATTATGTAATCTGATTATTATGTTTTTATGGATTAAAATATGCTGTTTGAAATATAACTTGCTAGAGGGCATGTCTTTAATCGCGTATAAGTGGGTGAAATAAATAAAACAAACATCCTAACGAATGAGCACACATCCCACGTTAATTATACAACAAATTAGTAATGAGAAAATAACACAGCTGCTCACTCACAATGGCAAAATAGGTAAGAGCCAGGCATTTATTTACTGGAGTGACTGAGTGGCACATGACTGGCAGTCGCAGACTTAGCGGCGAGGAATGGTGGACGCTGTATGCCGACGTGGACAGGTCTGACTGAAATTAAACATTTTCAGGTCACTGCGAGAATGGAATAGGTTTGTATACGTGACTAGTGCCCACGGCTGTAAGCAAGAGTTATTCTGGGCGTGGTGTGCCAGTTGCGGAAATATTCTTCTGAATCGCTGCCCTGAGCACACTCGACTGAAGGTAAACGCTGTGTGGGAAGCATTTATATACGTGTAGTGGAGTAGGAAGGTGCTGAGTACAAACAGCGTGATTACATGATCACACAGACAGTACGGGTTATCTTGGGTCAGCCTGGAGTGAAGGCGAATATTAAGCTGGGAGAGCCGTGGACGGCTGTGATTGGTTGGAGCTGTTGCCAAGGCTAGAGCGGCGCCTAAAGGTCTGGAGGAGAAACAGGTGACGGTCACGCGGAGTGCCGTTGGGACGAGGACTAATTAATTGGGGGCGTAATGAGAGCGGGGATAAATTGGGGGGTCGGCAATTGGAGGAGGAGAGTTGGAGTTTGGAGACGGAGGTGGTGGAAGTTGGGGAGCTCGGAGTGAACAGCGGGGAATTGAAGAGTGGAGAGTTTGGAGAGAGCGTAGTGATAGCGGAGCTGAAGACGAGAATAGCCAGCAGTGGAGACAGCGTAGTGACGGTGATAGCGGTGAACAGAGATGAAGCAGTAGCAGTGGAGTGAGCATAGTGACAGTGATAGCGGTGAACAGAGATGAAGCAGTTAGCAGTGGAGTGAGCATAGTGACGGTGATAGCGGTGAACAGAGATGAAGCAGTAGCAGTGGAGTGAGCATAGTGACGGTGATAGCGGTGAACAGAGACGGAGCAGTTAGCAGTGGAGTGAGCATAGTGACGGTGATAGTGGTGAACAGAGACGGAGCAGTTAGCAGTGGAGAGAGCATAGTGACGGTGATAGCGGAGAGCGGAGACGAAGAAGTTAGCGGCGGAGTAAGCGCAGTGATAGTGGGGAGTGGAGAGACAAAGGTGGCGAGCGAGTCGAGTGAGGCACGGCGAGCGAGCCGTGGCGACCAGGATACTGTGGAATGTGGAGGACATGCTGAGAGTTGTAAATAAAGCAGTGTTCGGAGAAAGACAGAAGTTGTCCGAGTGAAATCGAACACTACATACGTAAAAAAAGACTCACACCAATTAGGTCTGAGCGATGTCTACCGCAAGACCC